GTGTGTGTGTGTGTGTGTGTGTGTGTGTGTGTGTGTGTGTGTGTGTGCCGGTGTTTATCGAGAGCAGTAATGAGTGTGTGTGGTCATCACAAAGAGCCGCGTGTTAATGATGTAGACATGGCTGGAAGCTTGAGAGCAGATGTGTGTGTGTGTGTGTGTGTGTGTGTCCACGTTCATGCATATTCCCCTTCTCTGGCATCACTCGGCTAATATTTTGTGTCCTTTTTAAGCTACGTGGTTGCTGTCAACACTGTTGACAGCATGTTTGGCACACTTTTACCAACCTGCTCGTTATGTAACGTGGCCTAAATGAAAAGGGGAATCGGCAGTCATGTCGTCGTGTTTATTTCATCAATCCAGGCCAAATATCCAGAAACGATCTCTAATTGCTTCAGCTGCCGTTGCTGCTTTATTCTAATTGCCTGTGTCAGAAGATGCCGAGCAGTGTTTGACTCGAGGTCAGCCAGGAGGTGGATTAGGGAGATGAACTCGCCCTCTGCGCCTCTCTCTACTGTGGCTCCATTCGTCTCTTTTTGTTTGCCCAGCGACATGAGTCAGTCCCACTGCGCTGGGATCTGCACTGCACCACTGCTGCTGCTGCTGCTGCTGCTCGGCTCCCCACCGTTTGTCTTTTAATGAGGAATGAATGGGAGATAGGTGTGTGTGTGTGTGAGGGAGGGAGGGAGATAGGTTTATGAATGTGTCTGCTTATGTCACTGCATATGTGCTTATTTGAGGCACAGAAGGAGGAAAAGCTCTCTGCCTCCACCAGGGAGAGTCAGCCACTGTGAAGGCGATACAAAAAAGAAAATAACCAGGGTGAGATATTGCTGGTAAATCAGATTTTTTCTGTTACAAAGTGCAGAATTTAATCGCGGCGCGGCCATCAGTTTGCTCTCTGAGGCCGGGAGAAAGAAATCACAGAGTCGCAGGGTAGAAAATCAGCCATGTATCAGCATATAGGCGCACACATGCGTGCACACGCCGTTCTGAAAGTCAATAAAGACGGATGGAAAGGAAGGACTCATTTCAAGCCTCTTCTCACACCTTGTAATCTGCCTTCACACCACACGGACTACCTTTTGATTAATTGGTCCGTTGCATTCCAATTTGCAGTTATTACACATGAGAGCTCCGTGTGTTTGTGTGTGTTTTTGAGACGCTTACTAGCCACAGTCTTCAAAGTTGTTTACCAATTGATCGAGGTACTGATTGTGATTCCGGTGGCTGTGAGTTACTTAATGTTACATTTAGCTAAAGAGCGCCATAGCAATTGGTTTAAAGCAGTGTTGTGGTATCATTATGAGCTTAATCGATTGCGGACGTCAACTGAAATTGGTCCCGGAAAACTCCCGCGAGGTCCGTGAAATTGAATTGATTTAACATGCTGTTGCGCCGGTGCAGTGAAGTTACGCAGGCATAAGGATGCATCGAGGCAAAATCAGAATAGCTGCATCCATTTTGTTTGTGCTTCACTTAATCTCAACTAGTTTAGCAACTGAAAGGCTTTAATTGAGGCTTGATGGGGATTTGTTGCCTGGAAGGTCATCATCACATCACACTCATCCACAGCATACCGGGGCGATCCCAGTAGACAGATGGAAGGACATGGGGAGTAATCTGGCACGGTCTGGTTTCACCACATGGCACCAGTCCACACATGTATCCATGCACACAAACAGAAACGTACCAGGATGAGTTAAAGGCCCGTGACACTAAAATGATTAGTCGGTTGATCAATTGAACATTTTATTTGATTATTGAATTATCGTAATTATCGCAAAAATGCCCAAATATCAGTGGTTCCAGCTTCTGAAATGTGAATATTTGCTGTTTTTCTTAGTCTTACACGATAGTGAAGAGAAGACCTTTGGGTTTTGGACGGTTTAAATATTTACGTATATCAGTGTATATCATCATCACTACTGCCGTGTTACTTTAATGTCAAATTCCATTATGTTGTAAAAGCCATGATATTCTTTTATATCACTTTATAAATTGCAGCGACATCTTTTCCACATTGTGAAGTAGCCAGTCATGTCTTGCGTTTACCTGAAGGTTAAACAGTGCACAGACGTATTAAGCCTCTTTGCTTCTGTCCAGACTAAATGTTTCAGTAAGAGCATTTAAATGGACTTATGAAGAGAGCCATTCCTGGAGCCATTCCCTGTCTGGCTGTCACTAAGAGAGATTTGGCTTGATTCGCCTGATTCAAGTAGTGCTGTTATTATGCTTCTTCTCTGAATTAGAGGAAGGCATTAGTAGACTGCAACATTTAGGCTGTTTCTATTATCTCCTCTTTCTTTCTGGTCTCAATCGTCCTTTTTCACCTCTTTCACTTGTGGGCGAGAGGAGTCTGAGAGGTGTTTTAACACTTTTTTCAAAATGTGTGACTAACAGAAAGTTGAATTATTCCGTTTTTGATTCTCCTCTCTTATCATGGCTCCTAGACTTCAAAAGAATATGGTGGATGCCTACAGATATTAGGTTATATCATCTTCTTCAAACATGATCCCGTCTTCCTTGGAGCTACATCCCCTACCCCCCCCCCCCCCTACCATCCCCTTCCCAAATTTAAGAGAATCTACTTTCCCCAACTGGTGTGCATGTCTGTCTGTGGGATGGGAGTTTGAGGGGTATATTAGGGAGATGTGTGTGTGTGTGCGTGTTGTGACTAAGCCCATCAGATGCCATCTGGCCGTGAGCAGGCTAATAATCTGGGCTTATAGCTGTCAGCGCAGTTAATGCTAGCCCGCTCTCGTCAGTCCGCTCCACAGTAAACAAGTTGGAAAGACAGAGCTGGAGATAAAAACCTAAAAAAGAGGGAGTGACAGAGGGACCAATAAGGACCCAGATCCAACATGACCCAGATCTGGCTGAAATGACCGCACCGGGGGTGCAGCGGTCATACCAATTGTAGCCCCAGCGGTGAGCGATGAAGATCCTCGGCCGTGCCTCTACCTCGCCACCTTAATCGAGCTCTTTATGCGGGACCAGTCGCCTGTCCAGGCCCTGTGCTCCCTCCTGGCCATGTGCTGGTTCTGGCCATCCGGCTGCGAGGCAGAGGAGAAGGACCTGTTCCTGGGCTCTGTGCTGATCAGTTTGGGAAGGTTCCTCAAAGACAAGATGGCCTGCCTGGGTCGGGAAATGGCTGCCTGCCTGTCCTGCGAGAGAGATGTCAAAGGGGACAAACAAGCGGTAAATGTCGGCTGATGTGCTTCTTGCTCGTGGGAGGTTTTAACTGAGGCAGCTGATACTACGAGTCTTCACACTTGAGCTGCAGACTTTCACACACAACTCCCACAACCTTCTTTGTGCATTTGCCAAAAATATCTCAAACCGATGCGACTCTGGAGTAGTTTTACATTTTGGAGAATTCATTTGCCTTTTATTTGCATTTTATTAGCATTTCAGCTTTCATTTTTAAAGAGCTCATAAATTACAGTATGCATTTACGGTAGCACGTGCAATCTATGTGGATTTAATGCATTTTTATCCATGCTAGTGGTTTGGCTCTTGGGATGGCAGTGTCGGTTGGTCGGTCGATCTAGACCCAAAAATCTCCATGAATTGCCGTAATACTTGGTACAGATACCTACTGTGCCCAGAGGATGAATCCATAGTCACTTTGATGTTCCCCTGAATATTGGGTCTTCATTTTAATTTGTCCATTACCTTGGTCTCTGCTAAACTAATGAAATTTCCATCAACCCCAGCTGGATTTCGTGTTTAGTGCCCCATAGCAAATGTTAGCACCCTAACAGACTTAACTATGATGTTGAATATGGCAAACATTGCCTGCTAGACATTAGAATGTTAGTTTTGTAATTGTTACTCAGACATTTAGAAAAAGTGTCATGTGTCTAGTTATGTTTCCTACCGGTTTGTCCCCCCTCTACTCAGCCCTATCCTGGTGATCTTTAATTCAACTGTTCACTTGTAAGATTTGTAGTGTACGCAGTTGGGGGTATAAGTCAAAAGGTCATGGTGTTACCTTTTGCTCTGCCTTTATTGCTGTCCATGGTTTTATCTCTGCTCTAATGGCTGTAATAGAATTAATTGTATTGGTCTGGCTAGCAATTAAAGTCTTTATTCATGTATTCCCTCTCAAACTGTCACCTCGTGTGCCTTGTGGGTCTA